TGACAGAACGGAGTCCGAGGAGGAAGAGATGTAAACGAACGCAAGTGTGAAGGAGGCGCGCGGAGATGTGGGCAGGGGTGGGGTGGGGGGTGGGGGGAGGGGAGGTGAGAAAGCGGTGCACGGGGAATGATCTTAAAGGACTCGGATGTTTATTTTGTTTGTTTGTGCTTCCATGCGCGGGCGAGCGAGCGTGCGTGCGTGCGTGCGTACGTATGTATGTGCGCGCGTGTGTACTCACCTCCTTGCCCGACGCGAAAAAGAGGGGAAGAAGAGGGAAGAAGGAACCATGGCAGAGAAGGAAAAATCATTACAGAAAAATGAAGCTATTTACACCCGATGAAGGGGAAACACGGAGCAGCTGAGAGACGAAACTGCTTCTTCTCTTTAATTTCGCTATTTTGCTCTTCCTCCCCGAACACTTAGCGCGGGCTGCACTATACGGAAAGAAATCCATCTATCAATCTGCCTGCCTATCTATCCGAGTATCCAAGTATCAAAGAGGAAGAAAAAGACTCATAATTGCTCACACTCCTAAACAATAAAATTTGATAAAAAACAATAATCTACGAAATATATATATATATATATATATATATATATATATATATATATATATATATATTATATATATATATATATATATAAAATATTAGATATAGATATATAGAGATAGATAGATAAAGATTTAGATAGAGATAGATAATGCACTTCCCCCCCCCCCCCCCGCTACACCTTTCTCTCGCCCTTAAAGCTTCCCTTCCCCCTCTTCTCTTCTCCCCCCACCCCCCTTCTAAAAGACAAACCTTCCCCTTTCCCTCCTCCCCCTTTCGCCCCCCCCCCTTCAAAAAAATCCCCGCCCCTTTCCAAATAGAACGTGTGTAAACCGCCATACCTAAAAAAAGGAAAAAAAAATCAGTCGATATTTATTCATTTGCAAAAAAAGAAAGAAAAAAAAAAACACTCCCCGCCCCTTCCAAAAATAGAATAAAAACAAACAAATGAATAAATGAAATGAAAATACCGAAGTGATTTCAAAAGCGTATAATGACTCGCTTTTGGTGCTTTGCTTCAAGAACGTGAAGGAGACAAATTTTACGCAACGGCGAGAGATCTATCCTACTCAAAAAAAAAAAAAAAAAAAATAATAATAATAAATAAAATAATAAATAAAAAATAAATGGAAATAAAAAGGAAAAATAAAAAGATTTAAAATTAATCTATACATATTGAGACCGTGATCTAGTATAGCTGGGGAGAGTAATAATTGCATTAGTGATGATAATTGTAATATTGATAATAATAATAGTAATTGTAATACCAATAACGATATCATGATGGTGATAACAATAACTATAACAACATTAATAATAATAATTATGATCATAACAACAACAACGAAAATAATAATAATAAAGATTATAATAATGAAAATAATAATAAAAGTAATGATAAAGATAACTAAAACAATAACTGCAAAATGAAATAATAACGATAATCATATTCATAAAAAGAAATAAAAATGGCATCAACAAAAACAACAATAATAATAACAATGATAATGATAATAGTAGTAATAGTAATAATATTATTAATAATAACACCAGTAATAATAATAACAATAGTAAAAAAAACTAATATCATTATCATCTCCACCACCATAAATACAATTTTATTTCTGCTTTTCCTAATCTTCCTTCGTACTTTTCTGTATCGCTCTTTGACCCCATAGCCAATCAAACCTCTTAAAAATGTGATTTAATTACACGAAACACGCCATCTTAACCTTTAAAAATGCATATAAACAAAATGGCACAACTTCTTTGAACAACGATTTTTCTTACCACATAAATCCCCTTTCACTCCCCACCCCCTCCTCCCCCTCCCCCTCTCCCCTCCCCTACAAAAAACAAACAAACAAACAAAATAAACCTCCATCGGGAACTTATCCAAACGACTCCTTATCCCATTAATTCCTCAATCAGTCCCTCTCTAATTACACTCGTTTCCTCTAATCACTTTATCAGCCGTCACTCACTTCCTCTGATCTTTATCATCCTACGTCTTATGCCTGTCTCTCTCTCTCCTCCTCCTCTCCCTCTTTGTCATGTCTTCGTCTTTGCTTCTAGTGGCTTGATTGTCATTTCGTGCCGGCCTGAATTTGATTCATGGCTCACAAAAAGTCTGTTTGTTTTATGCCTATTTCTTCGACGAGTTAATGCGGTGCGCTATGTGTAAGTTCAAACACATTTCAGAAGGGTTTGGTAGGTTTACTATTTTCCCTGTGTGTCAATGTAAGTATTTTTGGAGCTAGGAAGTGTCAGTAAAGTGGGCAGTAAAACAGACAAGTGTTGATTTAGGTTTATGCGTAAGTAGAAACTGTCTTAAGTGTACGTTCTTGTGAGGGACTTAAAACGTGTAGTAAAATCTATGTGCGTTTATCTCCTCCAAAGATGGCATTGCCTCATCCATCACATAATTCCCTCATACTTCCACTCCATTCGCTCCCTACATTACAGCCTCCTGATGACTTGCACCGAAAGAAAGAGAAGAAAAAAAAAAAAAAAAAAAAAAATCCCACACTCCATTATATATTTTTTCTTCATATAAACATAAAAAAATCCATCATTCTCCCTTCCAAGAAAACAAAAGAGACAAGAAAAAAAGTCCTGCTCCTTTTCTTCTCCCAAACACGTCCATCCATCGCCAATGTCCTCATAATCGTTAATGGATTCTCCTCATTATCCACCTTCTACACCCTTCTTTTTCCTCTCATCGCCCTCTCTTTCCCCTCCCTCCCCCACCCCCTCTTTCCCCTTAACCCCAAATTAGCTTCATCACTACAGCTCGCATTCCACTGAAAGAACGGCCAAAAGCAGAACTGGTTGTCAAGCAATATATACAAGTATTGTGAAGGGCCCTCCATTGTGTCCCGCTCTGAATGAGGGGAGAAAAGGGATAGGAAGTGAGGGGAAATGAGGTGAGGTAACGTGGAAAGAAGGGAAGCGAGGGGAGAAATGAGCTAGGCAGAAAGGGGAGGGGGAGGAGGGGTTAGAGGGAGGGACGGGAGCAAGGAGGAGGGGGGAGGGGGAAGGGAAGGGAGGGGGGGACGAGAGAGAGCGAGGAATGGCGATAAGGAAGGAAAAAAGGTTGGGAGAGGAAGGAAACGAGGGGAGAGAAATAAAAGGAGGGAAGGAGGAAGGGAGGACGAAAGGAGAAGGGGGAGGGTGGGAGGAGGGAGACGAAAAGGGAAGGGAGGGAGGGAGGGACGAAAGGAGGAGGATGGAGAGAGGGAGGGAGGGACGAAAGGAGAAGGGAGGGGGAGGAATACGCGCTGTAAGTAATAACAACACACACATCATTGCAATTCGCTCTAGACGCACGAACAGCAGATCAATCATGCTAAATAATGAAGAGAGAAAAATGCACCCTGCAGATGTTGAATATTAAACAACAATGAAGCTCAATAAAGATGATGCATTCATGGCATTGATCTTCAAATCATTTGCAACATAATAATGCATTGCGACGTGAGAACAGGCCATGGCATTTGTAATGATGGTGTAAGTACCAGTGTTATTGACACATTTACATCCAAAAGGATAATACTAAAAATATTTGATGAGATGAAGCTAAATCATTTAGATATATCGTGTGTGTTCTGATGGCCGTATGTGTGTGTGTGTGTGTGTGTGTGTGTGTGTGTGTGTGTGTGTGTGTGTGTGTGTGTGTGTGTGTGTGTGTGTGTATGTGTGTGTGTGTGTGTGTGTGTGTGTGTGTGTGTGTGTGTGTGTGTGTGTGTGTGTGTGTGTGTGTGTGTGTGTGTGTGTGTGTGTGTGTGTGTGTGTGTGTGTGTGTGTGTGTGTGTGTGTGTGTGTGTGTGTGTGTGTGTGTGTGTGTGTGTGTGTGTGTGTGTGGCTCGTGTGTGTATATGCCCGTGTGTGTATATGCCCGTGTGTGTGCGTGTGTGTACGAGTGTGTGTTTATGGGCACCCTTCAACAAAGAGAAGCTAGGAATAACAGAATCATAACAAACATTAAAAAGCTTTCATCAGCGACCCAAGAATTTACAGTGTTGCCAAACAAAGGAACATGTGTGTGTCAGTTGTGTAAACTCAGCCTTCACAATTATTGGAGAAACATAAAATTGGGCTCTAAATGGCAATGTAGGCCTGCTCCCCTACCTCGAAAATTACAAACTGTACATCCCTGCTGAGTGGGAGAAGGGGAGTAGGTATGTGTGTACGGTGTGAGTGTGAGTGTGAGTGTGAGTGTGAGTGTGAGTGTGAGTGAGTGTGAGTGTGCGTGTGTGTGTGTGTGTGTGTGTGTGTGTGTGTGTGTGTGTGTGTGTGTGTGTGTGTGTGTGTGTGTGTGTGTGTGTATGTGTGTATGTGTGTATATACGCGCGTGCGCGTGTGCGTGTACGTGTGCATGTGTGAATATACGCGTGTGCGCGTGTGTAGGTAGATGTGATGTCACACGAATTTCACCTACTGACAAGAAACTACAGGAAGGTCAGTGTTGTCTCCTACCCGCTGACCTTTTTTCGAGAGCGGGGGGGGGGGGGACTGGTACTCACTCAGCGTCTTCTTACCTGCAAAGAGAGAGAAGACAGTCGGTTAAAGTCTGTTATGAAGGAAACCTTAAGGAGAGCGTGAGGGTTTGTGGGCGTGATGGTGCATGAGCGTGAGGCGCGTGCGTGAGCGTGCCTCTAAGTTTATATGACCGCTTGCAATCGCACATCCCAGGGACCCCAAAGCTTGGGACCCGCCCCGCCCCCCTTAAATAAGCGCCTCGTCCCTAAATTCCCGCAAACGCCCCCCGTGACGAGAGCCGTTAACTGTAACAC